CCGCCGCCCCCTCCCGCCCCCCGCCCCCCTGCTCCACAGAGCGAGGGACGCGTCCTAGAAGGGGCGGGAAGGAACCGCCGGGCACGGGCGCCGATGCGAACCGAAGATCGGCCGGCAACGCGGCCCCGGGGCGGGAGTGCACAGCCTGCTGGGAGTCGTAGTGCGGCGCCAGAGGGTCACAGCGCTGGCGGGGTGGAGCCGCACTGCCTGCTGGGAGCAGGCAGACCTCCCCGCAAGGCCTTCTGGGGGCTGTAGTTTCCTGCCGGCCGCAGTGCATGGTGGGAGTCAGCCTGCTGGTGGCAGGGGTGACACCTCCCCATCGCGGGTCTGAGGGGGCATGTGTTGCCATGGAGACCCCGGGGCCTGCGCTGCCTCGCCAGCCTGAGGGCCTGGAGGAGGTCCAGCCTGCCCTGGCCCTGCTTCTTGCTGGGTGGTGGACCTGGCAGGGGAGGAGAACACCACAGGTCCGCCATCACCCAAACCTCTCAGACCACCACCAGGGACAGGCCCTGCTGAAGTCTCCTGAGAAACACAGCCGGGGATGAAGCTCAGCGTACCAGCCTTGTAGCACAAGGGCTTCTGCTGTAAGGAGGAGCCCTCATGGAGGCTGAGGCTGCTTCTCCACCCACCCGTCCTGGTCCAGTTTCCTCCTAGGCGTTGCATGGCCCCATCAAGTGTAGGCCAGGGCTCATACCCGCATGGCCCCATCAAGTGTAGGCCAGGGCTCATACTGGCATTGGGATTGCAAATACAGATAGGTCTAGCCAGTAATCAGAGAAGACTAGCTCCCTCTTTGAAACAAGGTGTTCACAGCTGCCTTCCTAATGCTGCCACCAAACCTAGAATGACCCAGCTGGCACCTCACTTGCTACCAGCTTTGAGTCTCACTACGGTCCACTGTGATCACGCACATCATGCCAGTGGGGCCACAGAGCCACAGACAGCAGTCGTGCTGACACAACATCCCTCCTTCCTGCTACAGCCTTCCAGCACAGCCCCTCTCTCTTGAGGTTGTCCATTCATACCCCGGCATCCTCCAGCTATGTGACTTCTTACCCAAGTTCAGAATTCCCACTGTCTTCTTGCATGGATGACCACGTGTTAGAGGCAAGCAACTCTTATCTCGCACTCCCTTGAACCCAGCAAAGTTTAACTCATCAAGAAACCCCTGCCAGATAACTAAGCCAGCTGAGGGAGTGGCTGGCAAACTCTCAAGTGCTCAGAAATGCCTCCAAGGTACTGATTAACTTCACCCATCCCGCGCTTGCCTTTGCACCCACTCTCTTCACATTAAGGGTGCTGCAAGGCTTGGATGGCAAATTCGTCCTGCTGCAGAAGGGAGGGGAGGGGATAGTAGGACATTTCCCTACCAGCCCTACGCTTACAAAAAAAAAAAAAAAATCAACCTTTTCGTGAGCAAATGCTGTTTATGAAACTGGTCATCTTCCCAACGATTGTTTTTAAGCGTGTTTTATATAAATCTGGAAATAACAGCATGATTTAGTTACTATTAATCTTTTTTTCCTTATAATAACATAAAGGATTCTGAGAGTATTTTTTTTTCACTTTTACCTCAGAGCTTCTCCCCCTACTCTGAAGCTCAAATATTTTGTTTTCTGAAAAGTTATCAAGTGCCTGAAAGACAACTGCTTTCTGCCACTCATTCAGTAGTTTCCCTACACAAGGAGAAAGTTACAGGCGTTGTAACTTTTGGGAAAAAGAAATATAAAGACTGATAGGAAAACATGAAGAAAACAATACGTAATTAATTTTATTGCATTGACCATGGTACAGAAGGGAGAGAAATATTGTTTCTGTATCTCAGTTGTGTGCCTGAGGGACAGAGGCTACGTGGCTCTAAATATCCTAAGTTTCATTATTTTTCCATGTCATGGTGCTATTTAGGCACCTAATCGTTTTGGCATTGATAACGTCAAAAGCAATGCTGTGAAGCTGCTGGCTCTTGCAAACCCATACTTGCGCTGAAGCTGCTCTTTTAAGTCAGGTCCGATACCTGGGCTCACACCTGAGTCTCTACTGAACAATCCAAGTCATATGGGGAGTAGTAGTCATTAAAACACATTTAGTACGTCTTATGTCTGGCCTCTACTTGATGTATAGGCAAGTGGTGAGGAGTTTTCAACTGCCTGAGGGCCATCTTGTAGGCTGTGAAACAACTGCATTACTGCTCTGAAGCAAGAACCTGGGCTTCAGCTTCACAGATCTCTGCCTCAGCTGCCAGGTCAGTCTCTCTCAGAGTCTCTTCTTGGTGTCATTGTAGACTGTCAAGATTCCTGCTCGCTCAGAAGAGTTAGTTCGTCTGCCTTTTCCCCTTATCCTGAGGGTCTCCTGTTCTGTCCTCAGAGAAGTTATCTGAACATCCATGTCTCCAGCCACAATGAAATTTGTTGAGGCTGTTTTCATTTATTACTGTGGTGTTGGAGTTGTTCGCACCAGACTTGCCTTCCCTGGCGCTGGCCAAGGGGTAAGACAGGACACATCAACAATCAAGAGAGAAGTCCTATGAAATCTGACTAGCACACTGAGGAGCTAGTTCTCTGTTGAACACTGAGGAACTCCAAGGACTCCGCACAGGAAAGGGTCACTGCATTTGGCTTTACAAGTAATGAAAAAAAACCCAAACAACCCACAACACAATGCAGTGAATCGTTAACTAGAAGATTATGACAAAGCAGCAGAACTCAACAGATAAACCCATCAGCTTCCTTCAAAAGCATCTTCAAGCTACTGCCTGAAGGAGAAGACTTTCACAGTCCATATTCTGACCACAGGAACATGACTTTGCGGCTTTGCTGTGCCTGGATTTTTATCCTCCTCCTTCCTGGCCTCTCAGACGGAGGGAAACACCTGGTGGTGCCCATGGATGGAAGCCACTGGCTTAGCATGTGGCAAGTGGTCAAAAAGCTCACCGAGAGAGGACACGAAGTGGTGGTGCTTATACCAGAAGTAAGCTGGCAGATGAAGACAACACAGGCGTGCACCGTGAAAACATACCCAGTGTCTTACACATTAGAAGAGCTGGATAATGCCTTTCATGAATATGTTGCCACTCACCTGAAGGACCTGCCTTTCCCGCTGAATGTTCTAGCGTTGTACAACAACTCAGTGCACGTTTTCCATACATTCTTTGTTCAGTGCAAGAACCTGTTCAACAGCAAGGAGACCCTGCAGTACTTGAATCAAAGCGGCTTCGATGCTGTCCTAACAGACCCCATTTTTATGTGCGGAGCGACACTTGCTAATTATTTTTCTCTTCCATTTGTGTTCTTCATGAGAGGATTTCCTTGCAACTTACACTATGAAGCACCACAGTGCCCAAGCCCTCTGTCCTACACCCCAAGACTATTTACCTTCAACTCAGACCGCATGACTTTTTTCCAGAGAGTGGAAAATGCACTGGTTGCCCTCCTGGAGCTTGTGTACTGTAACAGTTTCTATGAAGACATGATAAAGTTTTCCTCTGAAGTTCTTCAGAGAGATGTATCCCTGCTAGACCTTCTGAACTCGGCTTCCATTTGGCTTCTGAGATTTGACTTTGTGTTCGAGTATGTCAGACCAGTGATGCCGAATATGGTCTTTATTGGAGGTATAAACTGTGCTCAGAGGAAACCGCTATGTAAGGTATGTTCTTTTTCCTCCAACTTATACATTTTCCAATGAAATGTGATTATGTCATTTCTGGAAGTTTAGTGATATGGAATTTTTTTATTTCTGGTAATGATTTAATACAACCAGGTTTTGGCAGTTGTTTTCCACAGACTGAAATCAAATTACCTTGATTGAGGCAGATGACTTACTGGAATTAATGAGGATTTTCTGACAAGTCCAACAAAAAATGGGCTTCATCTGCCAGCTACAAATTACTGTCCTCAGTGAATGTATATTATTCACCAACCAGACGCAGTTTTGATTTCATTTTCATGGAGCCTGACATACATTTCTTTCACTTGACCAAAAACCCAAAGACCATGCTCTGAGAGTCATCTTTTGTTTTTAACTCTAGGCTCAGCAAAGCCAGTTAATTTGCTTTGGTTGTGTTTTCATGACATGTGGTTTCCAAACTGGCTGTCTGTGTTAAGTTATTTTTGTTTGTAGATCATGGTGAAACATAAATGTCATGTTGAAATGGGAAGAATTAATCTAAAATAGTGTATTTGGTGCAAGACACTTGTACGCAAAACTCAGATAAGTTTTTGTACCTATTTCTTCACATTTGCTTTTACCAGAATTGTTCTGCAGGGTTTTTAAAGCTAATCTAGAAATTTAAATCTATTTTGATAGTTACCATATAGTCTCTAAAACAATTAATAGCACTAGACATTTCTTTCCAGGCACAACACAGGACACAAACATCTTTACATTGAAAATATTCCCTCACTTCTGAATTGTGGTCACACAATATCACTGCAAAATTGCAATACAGTATCTTTGAGCTGAAGGTTTTTTCTTTCTTCTTTCAGATTTCTTTTATAGTCTTTGACAGGTTTATGCAGAGCCCACTGAACTCAATAAAGAATAAGGCAAATAAAGAAGAATATTATAAATTAGAATATTAGCATAATATTCTAAATAAAGCATTTTCTCGCATTTGGCTCAAGAAAGTGGCACTTCGTAGTTTCAGATTTAAGAGGCAAATTCTTGCTGGTTGCATGACGTAAGTCTTTACTTTTATATCTTGAAGGTCTCAGAGCTACAAACAGTTTGTAGCTTGCTACAGGGGTAGAAGCATCCTGCCCTTATTTTATACCTGATGTCTTCCGTCTTCACACTGACATTTGTCATTTGGTGGAAATCATATGTTCCAAACCTTGAAAAACTTCATGTATTCCTCCTATCTTCAGTCTGGCTTTTCTGGCTACATTTTCTACAGACAGCAGAGGAATTTCTCCTATTTCACTTTGAACAGTGCCCAGCAACAAGGCAATAATGCAGTAGAGTGTAAACAAATGTGAAATGAGTCATATGGGAGAAAAAAATCTACCTATCCATACACAGTGGTAAGCCTTAGGTTGATAATTAATGTTCAGAAATACAATCATATGATAAGAATAGATAGTTCTCCGAAACCTGGTAGCCCATTGCTCAACAGACAAGAAAACAAAAAGTTAGGATGACTAGGAAAGGGAGAGAGAACAAGAGATTCAAAATGAGGTTTCTTTTCTCAGACAAGTAGCTTAAGCCACAGACCTTTCTGTTACACCACTTTCCATAGTTTTCCACAGGCAGAAAAATCAGGCATTGTGGCCTCATTCCAGAAGAGGGCTCCTTTCTGCCGTATCTCGCATGGTCCCATAGAGTACCTGCTCTGGAGCTGAAGGCAGCAGGGTTCTGAGGAGCTCGTGCTTTTGCAGAACTGCGCATATGGATATTATCCAGCACAGAGCTGGGAATTAAATCCCAAGTTCCCTGACCCTCCTGAGCCGTAAGCATCAGGAGGGAGTGGGAGAACATGCGACCACAGGACTGGGCCTGGGGGAACACAAACTGTACTTACTCATTGACTAAGATAATCGCACTGGCTGCCTCAGGCTGGATTTCCTCTTACCCTGCACTTTGCATAGCCATCCTTCTCAGTATCAATTACATATTCATTAACAGACACATAAATCCAGTTGCCAAGTTGCAGTGTGCCTGGAGGTTTAATACAAGGCTCGCAGGAAATCAGACCCAGTATCTTTGCTGAGCAGAGGTCCTGTGCCAGTGTCATCCTCTAATGACTCCAGAAGTACCTGAAGGCTGGCATGGTAAGTGGTCCCTTATTAGGGGGACATTGCAAATGAACTTGGACTGTGAGCCCTGAGATACTTCGATGAATATCTCATCTTTAGCCAAAGTTAATGCAAAGTTGCTTTTTTTAGGCAGCTTGTAAAAACAAAGTTCATATGATTTGATCAAAGCAAAGTTCAGAAATGTAACCTATAGCAACCGTTCAAAGTTGTTCATTTTTTTTTTAACCTAAAACACCCATTACTTATTTAAACAACTGGTTAACTTAAAACATTAAAATAACCCTGGATTTAAGTAGGTAGTTACTCAAGTAAAGGAAAAGTGTAACTGAATAAAGACCCTGTGGTTTGTCCCTCCAGCACAAGGATTAAGAAAAGGGGTCCTGTTCTGAAACCCTCCTGCCAGAGCCAGCAGCATCTGGGAAGCTCTGATAAGGAGACATTTCTAACTGGTCCTTTGAAATATGCAATTAAAGTAGAATTCAAAGACTTTAGCAAGAAGCCAAAGAATACAGTAAGCGGTACCAAGGTGCGCACACATACCTGGTACACAGAGACACACTTTTCAAAAGCCTGCACAACCCAAACATCACTTCGTGTGACTTCAGAAGGGATCCTGTCATGTCTGTGCGTACTGTTAATTTGCTAACATGGGTAGCTAAGATTAGTACAGCTATAGGGGAACTCTTCATTTTCAGCACTGAAGCAATAGTCATTACTCTATTCATGAACCAAATACTAGGGTTGTTTTTTTTGTGCAATATTCAAGGTGTTGATGAACCTAGTGGCAGTTCAGAGCAGCCTGATATCATGTCAGCAGCTGTTTATTACGCTTTTGTAAAGGATGTTGAGCACCTTTAAAGCTGACAATACTGTTCATCTGTCTTATATTGCAATGGCAAAATACACATCAGACAAGTAAAAGCAGCACTACTTTTGAAAAAGAAAGTTTAACCGTCATGCATTGTACATCTTCAATGCACAGTATGTATCACCCTGAAACGGCTGATCTAACCAAACAGTTCATCTCACTGTCCTCTTCAGTTTGCTCTTGTCCACATCCCTGTGCCTCCCATATTTTGAAGAAGAGCTATTGAAGGAAGCTGTAACCACAGTTCTTTTGACAAAAATTCCCTCATATCAAATGGAACTACTGCCTTAGTTTCCCTTTCTGTGGGAAGTTTGTCTTCTGGTTAGATTAAAACACCTTCTCTAATTTGAGTCTAAAGGTACAATATTTGACAGAGGTCTGTGCACAAAAATCTAGAAAGGCTATAAGAGTATTATATTTACAAATATCAAACACATTGCCCTACAAAAGTTAGGAAATGTTCCAGTTACAGTTACCTGGGCAGTCTTAAATGTCACCTTTCTGTTAGGATACAGTCATCAATTTCAGGATCACATACTATCATTTTCATATGATTTCTATTTATGGCTTTAGGAAAGGGCTGCCCTAGAAATTATCTGTGTTCTGTGATTTGCTTAGCTGCCTGCTGCTTCTTGCTCTTGCAAAGACTTAGAATAAGATTTCTTTCCAACTTGCAGTCAACATATCATCACTTTTATGGGTTGTTTTTCCTCTGAAGTCATGCTGGCCAAACTACATACTATCTTATCCTGTGCAGGCAAATACCAGTGTATCTCCATAGCTATGTAAAACGTAAGGGGGGAATCAGGCAGGTTCATGTCAGCAGCTACCAACCTGCATTTGCCTGACACTGTTTAGCATCAAAAAAAGGACTGGATTCAATTACACAAGGGTTCCTCCATATGTAAGCCTGATCCATCACCCAGAAACCTGGGAAATAAAATTACATCATCCACACACTCTTGCATTTGAGCAATCTTTTCCTGCTTGCAAGACACAGAGCGTAAGGGGGTGAGCAATCTCATCTAACAACAGGAAAACAAATCCAGTAGATGAAACCAACACTTGCAGGTTGCCTCAACAAACATTTGGTTTTAGTTCTAGTTTTAGTACTGCTCATGTAGCAAGTAGCTGCTGAGGTATCCATTTGCTATCCTTTTCCCTTGGTGCCACTCACTGTTTGCTGCTCAGGTTAGAAGAAATTCACGCATCACAACCAATCCAACTCAGAGATAAGCAGTTTGAGAGAGTTTTAGTACCTTTTCCAGCTGAAGCAATCATAGGGTGAGGGGTAAGCACACCTGCACCCAAACCCCTCAAAATGGTTATGGCTCAGGGTCCAAGCAGTCTCAACTACTCAGAGCTGCTTGCATGCCAGTGCAGCTCTGCTCTATTGCTGCAATGCTCCTTGCCAGCTCAAAGAGACACCCTGGAGTAACCCACACGAGCCTTATGGTGAGAGCTACTCCTGGGAGGAAAAAAAATCTGCAGTCTTGAGTCACCCAGGCTTCAGCCTTGTTTAACAAAAAATTTCTGTCCTTATTATCCAGTGGGAAAGCCTTTCCTCCCAGATGCCAGGAGCTTGCACGTGGTTCTCACTCTTTGAGGCCTCTGTTCCTCAAACTATGCCACAGTGCTCATCTGCACGTATGACTGGAGTCGGTAACCAGCACCACACCCTTCAAACCTGCAAGGGGCCCAGGTGCCCTTTGCTACTGGATAATGAACAACAAACACATGTAAACCTACCATGTTATTTTGAAAAATGAGCCAGACTGTTAATTTTCTGAAAAATAATTACCCAGCTTAGATCTGACCTCAGCTGATTCTGTGCTAACCTGAGAACTTCATCCTTTCTTCGTCTTTTTGTCTGTTCTCTGTTTACCTCTAATTTATCTTTTTTTTATTCTGTCCTATCTGTTGCTGTCTCACCTTTTCCACAGTTTTTGTCCTGATGGTCTGGTACAAAAAGTAGGGAGTCTGTTGAGTCCATAAGAAGGCGTAGCCATACTAGCAGGAGACTT